GAGAGTTTGGGATGCCACCCCCCCCCGCCCCCCGACCCTTGCCCCCCCCCTCCAGCTACAGATGTTGTCTTTTTAGCACAGTCCTGCTTCCTGACCACCAGCTCCAAGCTGAAAGAGCTATTGTTTATGTGGTGACATCATCGTCTTCAGCCTTCCTCTGCTCAGCAGGGGGCGTGTGTTTGTGTGGCTCTGACTGACTGACTGACTGACTGACTGGCTGACTGGCTGCCAGACATGAGAACAGTGTCTCCGTCGTAAGTGGCTACATCTGCTGGTCCTTCCAGACTGGAGCCTCCAGTTTAATTTAAGACGCTGAGAGTCAACGGTCACCAGCTGGCGCTGTTGAGAGTGTCATGAGCTTTTTTTTTCTTTTTTTCCCCAACATACTTTTTTATTAATTCATTTACATTTAAGTGAAATCGATAAAATTCCCAGCATTTATAAAATGTTGCTCTCAGCTAATGGCCCACAGACAGATGAGCAGATATATGACATGAAACCCTGCGCAGGATTCACAACATCCATAAAACAGATGTGTCCAAGAATAATTAACTACAGCAGCCATAAAGACTGGAGTCTCTGCTGTTTTTAACTAAGTGTCTATTAATCACACTCTCCGTTGTCTCCATCGTCTCCGTCGTCTCATCAGGCTTCTCCTTGTTTTTTTATTTTTTTTTAATTTAGTCTGAAACCTTCCTCCAGATTGGCTTCATCTCACTTCATGACTCACTTTACTTTTTTTTTTTTATCTGTCTCATCTCAGTTTGTCTCCTTCGCCGTTTTCCTCTACCTACGCTCCTCTCGCCAACTTCCTGTCCTTCAAATTTATTTATTTATTTTTTTTACATTTCTAATTTTCCTAGTTTTAATTAACTGTTCGATTTTTGAAATGTTCAGAATTCAGGAATTTCATGTAAGTAAAGATTAATTATTGTGCCGTTCCCTGCCTCCCCAGCAGAGGGTGCTAAAATGCAGCTCCACGATTTCAGCAAATCAGTTAATATTCTCTGTGTACTGGCGGTGAGTCACGGTGTGGGTAAAGCTCACAAAAATTTCCCAAATTGGGATCAATAAAGTTCCATTTCTGTGATTAGTGACGGTTTGACAGTTTCTACAAAATCGTGAAAAATAATTCACCACAAGAGTCGTGTCACGACGAATGAAGGTTACAGTGATGTAACAGTGATGATGACGGTAGACGTGAGGTGACGGACATACACTACCTCCACCACTAGAGGCTGCTAAATCTTACAACTAGCTCAAAAAAAGATATAATTAGCAATATTCTGTTCACACGTTTGACCTTGATGTATTTTTATGTCCTGAATCGTTCAGTCCAGCACTGGTTCAGGCTGAAAGGAAAATTACAGGACGGGGATTATCCTCAATCCCATGGTTGAATATGACAGTGAAGGAAGTGTATCATATAGTATCAGTACACTTCGTTACTACACTGGCCGTGTATACTGTATATATACTGTCTTGAGTATACTGTATATACTGTATAAGCTCCTATAGGTGTGTGTGTGTGTGTGTGTGTGTGTGTGTGGTTCTGACCCCGGCGTCGACTCTCAGCTCAGCTCATCTAAACCTCAGCGCGGATGAAAGCAGTGGTTTCCATATCAGAGGAGCTGCGTTCACCGCACGCCGTCACGTGCACCAGCAGCGTGCACGTGCAAACTAATCCCAGTGATGCTCACACCGTGACACAGAAATCACACACACACATTATTATCGTCTTCTGGCTCTTATTCACACACTGATATGAACACACACTCACACACACACAGCAGGGTTACACCCTCCCTCCCC